TGGGCTGGCAAACACCAGTTAGATTGCTGTAGACCAAATCGAAGATGGAGCACACAGACGGCAATTGGGCCAACCAATGAGATCTCCCATGGTAGCCGAAAAATATCCACCAAATTCGCGCACGTGGAAAAATATACCAAAAGCAAAGTATTGGTGCAGAATTCACACAGAGAAAACACCTATAACACAGTATTCCAAAAGGATAAGTATAGGCCAGCACTGTAAAGCAAAAACCCGCCACGTTCTTGGGTACAGCCATGCGTTGAAGGCGTCGTGGGGTGCTATGTGACGGTTTACTGGTGACAGACAGGAGTGGTTGGTGGTCCGTTCACTAAGTATTCTGTCTTTCAGAGGTGCAGTCACTGAAACGATCCATCGCATAAACCACCGCAAGTATCTCCTTTCAGTTTGTGTAAATCCGTGATTAGCTGTCGTGGGAGTTTGACTGTGTAAGACTAGGTTTTCTATCCTGTAAGAGAACGTCACCTATTCCACTCTGGCTGCTGTCGCATTGTACTTTCACATGTAAGCACGTATCGTAGTCGTCGAACACTGGCGCATTACTGAAATGATACATAACCGTAGCAAAGTTGCTCTACTGCTCCTTTCTATAAATGCTCTGCACGCGTCTATGAGTGGTGGCCGGCGGATTTGCATCATGACATCAGCAAGCCATGGCAATGAACGGCTCAGATAGTTGGCCACGGTGTTCAAACGGCTAACTACACTCCATGCTTTCGGAGGTGATAGCTCTTGCTTCGCCTTAAGCTTTCCCGGAGGGACTTTAATTTTTCTGGACTTCTGGATATGCTCACGAAAGACTAATTGCAGTTTCAAAAGTGCAGCTTACTCAAGCTACAGTTTTATGTTCTCAAAAGCACGTTGCAAGAAACCATAATGATTACTTTCATGTTCCGCTAGTTAAACCGCAAAGTCACATATCATTCACTGCACGAGTTGCATCGTCGTGCATTTCTACCGCCAGTACAAATCGTTTCTGCAATAGCTGCTTCGGCCTTTTAGACTAAATAGCAAAAACAACCACAGACAAGGTCCGAAAGGTGTAGCGAAAGTTGTCAGGACCAGTTGCCAATAGGTTCAATGCAGGTGTAAGCATGAAATCATTAGCGTTTGCTAGATAGGTAGAATGAGTTCCAATGTAAGCACTGCATATGTTCGCTATGCAGTGCTCCGTTCAGCGAGTTTGGATAAGCAAACACACAACTTGACAATCCTCTTTGTAACGGTTGTTATTTGAATGACCCAGTCGATTGGTTCACCGACTGTAGCGTGCACACTACTAGCAGTCAATTTATACACTGACAGTAAAGTTATCATGCAACGCTAATGAAACTCCCCTATGCGGCAACGCAACAGGTCGTACTGATGGGACTAGAGACAAGTAAGCGGCAGTTTCAAATGTCAGCAAATCTGCGCTAAAGGTAAATGGGTACTAGTCACTAGCATCGGTTTCTCCTTGACAAGCATGCACGAAATCCTATCGTAAAATGGAATATAACCTGCAGACTTGATTAACCCAGTGCTCAGAATCGACACAAGCACCTTCTTCCTGACCACAAATTTTAGTCGATATGAGGCTTCGTCTTTTAAACTGACTACTTTTATTGTAACTCCTTCATTCAGAAGAAGTATGGAAGCTAGAATTGAAGAATGGTAGCACAGGTTGTTCAGATGGCGGTTGAACTGTTCACTGAGCTTAGCAGTTCTGTTGCAAACTTTTCGTCACCAATCAATGTGGCATCCTCGGTGCGTAGTTACGAAGCGTGCAGTATCGCAGAGCAGCTTAGATAAGTCACGGAGATGTTCGGTGCTCTCACCGAAGCTTCACTACGCTACTGCACACTACGTAACTACCCACTGATGATGTCACCTCGTTTGGAGTCGATACGTTTGCAATAAAATTGCCAAACTCAGCGAACTGTTCAACCTCCAAGTCTGGAGCCATTCCGCTATCGTGAACAATCCTGATCGAGTAGGATATCCATCCACGGACTGTGGTTTCTGGGTAGTATGTGGATAGCAGTACCCTTGTTCAACTGGAATCGCACAACTCTGTATTCAAGCAGAAGACTAGGGTAAACATACTTTCGTGAGCCCCTTAAAAATACATTGTTAATGGGAGGTTCTACATCTTCAAGCAACTTGTCACAGATGAATGTGCTTACCTTGATTGACAAACAGCAACAAGCGAAGTGATGCCTTTTTCTACCTTTGGCACACTTTTCCCCCGCGGCGGTGATTGTTCGTGTCTCCTTAGCGTAGCGCGGAACAACTTTTACACATCTCCTGTCGCAAGTTTGCAGCCTTCGTGGTCTTGACCACCCAACTCGCACACATTTCTATAACATTTGTGTGTCTCATGCGCTGGTACTGCTAAATGGTCGAGAAATCATTATCGCATATGTTGACGCGCTTTCAGAGTCCTAAGACGCGCTGTTGCAAAACTCTTGGTTATATATATGTCATTCGGTTCTAACGCAATTGGGTCCGGTATACGACTGTTGGACATACATGCACAAAAATGAAAGAACGCACAGGTGAAGCAGAGGTCAACATACTCATTTGGGACCCTGATTCGCAAAGTAATAGGTAGTATTTTGTTCGTCGCAATCAGCCGACAATTCAGATATGTCGACCAGCTGTCCGGAAAAGCACCAGACGGCCGTTTCGCCCTATTGGGGCTCATCAGTGGTGCGCATCCTTCGGTCCTCTGCGGAGGATCGAACCCATGACTGCTAGTGGCTCTTGCCAACTTTGGACTTTTCGATAACTGACTGCAAGTTATCGGGATGTTCTTCTTCGTGATAACACAACCTCTTAAACTTGGCGGGCGTCATCCTCGGCGGCGTGTCGAAACGAGGCCAACAATTACGCCGTTGCTTATTCGTTTAAAATCACTAATGTGCGGAAATCCATGTTTAGCTAAGCATGTGGTTGAACTGCTGGGGATGTTCTTCCCAGTATCCGATCGACAACTTTTGGGTTCGTCTTCACTGACGCCATGACGCACAACTCGAGCCATCAGGGACAAACATTGTAGTGGGTGAAAGCGAACCAACAGGAAAACACAGTAAAGCTTGTTCGCACGATAACCTCATGCATATTATTCAAACGCTATTATTAGGAACGACGCGGTCCCACAACTAGTGTTCACTGTTTGTTCTAATTTAACAAAAGCCAGCTGAAGTTGTTGCTGGCAATGTCTGAGGTTGTGCTGTTCATATCTGATTTAGGAAAATTAGGTCTTGCTTGCATGCCTACTCCATTCGATACACCGCCCTAGTCACACATCGAACATACTTCATTTCGGGCGGGATTCAATTAGTACACACGTCGGTAGCTGGAGAACTGTTATCCTTATTATATTTGATATCGAAAAGCAGGTTTTTAAAGGTGATTGCAGCGACCTTTGCGGACTTCGGATTACTGTAGATTTCTTGCCACAAACACCCAATAATTCCATTTTAACGGGCTCTTGACACTTGTTTTGACTAGACAAAGTACAGAATATCATATCAATTGGCTATGGAGAGGATTGCAACTCCCTACACTGGTCGCCGAACATGACCGGTTTCTTTCATTTGAACGCGCTTAGCATGCAGGTTATCGGTTTCAGTTAAACAAAACGAATGTACTGGGGATATGACTGTGACGCAAACGATTACCACATGAAGACTGCCGTCCGGCGTTTAACACTCTTAGTAATCGGAAATTCAACCTACGCCAAAGTGCTGGCATATCTGCAACTCAGTGATCGACAGTGATTTTAGGCCAGGCATTGGTGAATTAGCACAATTTCTTTAATCTGTACGGTTGTTGCATCTATACTCACATAAACATGGCTGTTGATAAGGCTATGCAATTGCACACCGCGGAATTTGCTTCAATCCCACAAACTTCAAAAATACACAACCATTTACCCTTTCCAGCCCCCTCGTTTATGTCCACATTAATGAGGTGCACTAATTTTACTCAAATGCCTTTTCGAATAATAGAGCTAGATCCTGTTCAAGCTGAATTCCTGATTCTGATGTCCCCTTTCCAAAGCGTAGCATATAGTTCGATTACCTGAACTTAGTTTGATAGTCAATGTCAGGACAATTTCCCGCCACCGTCTCACATTCATCCGCCCTGCTCACACTGCTGGGAACCGGTCACAGTCTCGAATACAAGACGTTGGTGCTAGACGTCCTATTTGCTCGTCTATCCCTTCGTCGCTCTCACATGAAGTTAATCATTTTGTATTTGATCGTCTTCCTCTCTCTTAATGTCAACTGTCCCCTGGATATACTCCAGGTTGCACTTCCACTGTGTATTGCGAAGGGTTCACGGGCGTTATATAAACTACCACGGATAGTATGACTGATGGTCTGCAGTAATGCTCAGTTGTGAGGTGTTCCGGAAACATTGACCTTGTGTAGCTCCATATTCCATCCTTGTGGTTTGGGAATCATGAATCTCTGTATTATCTGTTACCCTATAATTCTCAGATGGTTTCAACCACATTTTATTGAATTTACCGCTGGTATAGGCGTGGCTCAACCCCTCTAAACCTAATTTCGCCTAAACCAAGGAAACACGTTGCATTTTACTGCACATCAATAATACGATACACTGTTTTCAAAATTACGCAGTCGGCTTATTATTCTGTAACCAGCTTATACCGTTGTGACAGCTCTTAAAACACTCGCGCGTTAACTGTTCCGTTTTTACCCATAGTTAGTTTTAGTGTAATCTAATCTTGACCGAATTTCACCGTGTTGCAGTCATCGAAAAGTGGCCTCATTCTGCTGATTTCCTTGAACGGCTGCTGTTTTTGGCGCGAAGTGTAGTATTTGTACTGCGATAAAATCTATTCAGAAAACTCATGGAGTCTACAGCTACTTGCTGTTCCTGCTTGTCATTCACCACAGTTTCCTTTTGACAGAAATCAGAGTTTGTATGCCGTCATTGCACAGTGCCACTCTGATTTTACGCAGGTCAAACCCACGACAGTTTCATCCCATTCTACTGTTAACTATATCAGAGAAGAACATCGCTCTGTCGAGAAGGAGGAACATAATGAAAATTGCCTCAGAGAAGAGCAAACTTTGCGAAAGCTGGTAAGTAGCACCACAAACAATGGTTACCATTTAGCTAATATCAGCTTCGGCAAACGATTTCGCTAGCAATTTTAGCGATTCACTATCCGCATCATTTCTGTGTATGCGAATGGTGTTTCTAATGCCAAGATTCCCATTGAGTTCATACGATATGAGCTTCGGCTCTTGTAGTGATGCAGGAACAGGTTTGTATTGGCTCGCGACATTCGAATGCACAGCCCTCTTCATCTAGTTTCTCATCACGCTGCGGAGATTATGCTGGAGATAGAAGCACGAAGTGAAACATTTCATTGCGATGGTTAACTCACCATTTTGATCCACTGTTACCGTGTACGCAACAAATACAAAATTCCGCTCAGCAGTTACATGGAACGATAAATTTATCAAGAAGAAAATTGCCAGCATTTTACAATTTCCGTGGATAAACCATGAGACAAAACGCAAATGTATGACGAATACGCAATGCATTGCGGTGAACTCATTGCAATTTTCACGTGTACACACACAGTTTGGTTATATCGTCCTGTGTCTAAGTAGTTGGAGTTAAATCATGTAATCCAGGCGGCGTGATGAAAAATCAAACCCATTTTGAACTCAGCTAAGGTAGTGGTAACAATGGCAACATGCGGACTCAGTCCCAAAGAGGATCGGATACACAAATGAGGTAGCGTTCCAACCGACTATCCTCTTTAGCCGGTTTCGAGTGGTAGCCACTTAATGTGGTGTCGCGGCTAATTTTGGTAGTAGTCGCTATAGGTTAGTAAGCTATAATACGTTAATATGAAATCACCTCACAAACAAAAGTATTGTCCTTAGAAACTTTCGGATTATTTAGTCTAAACTAGTAAGGGAAATGGAGCGAGCTCTTAACATTTTGTTTGTCCATCTTTGTGGATTCTCAATTGCAGTGAGGTCTTGTTTTTGCCAAGGGCACCACACGTGAACGGCGTAGTCCACATTTGACCTCGAGTAAGCGTTTACTATTTGTAAAGAGAAGGTAGGAACAGCCAGCCAAGCGCCCTTCGAAATCGACCCAAGAGTTGGCTGGCATTTACACTGAGTTCTGTGACTGCATTGAGCATCTGAGGTCGTCTAGCGCTAGCATCCTTACAATAATTTACTTGCAAGTGTGTAGTAAAAGTTGTTCTCCTAGATTAAATTCGTAGGAATGTTGGTAATATATGCCAATTATTCTAAATTTGATGTCGTTGAAATAAAACATGCCAGGAGCTGACCAATCGTAAGCGCGGATGAAATCCTGCTGAAGTAAAAAAGGATTGTCTACTCCTCGATTGCCTGTCAACATTTACTACCGTCCAGAAAGAGCCAAATCTTTGGCGTCCTCACTACATCAAATTACGGTAATCATAGCAGGACCAGCCGTACTCCTGGTGTATTGGCTAGGAAGACTTAAGAGCCAATAGAAAGAGAGAGGAGCGAAACAGGCACTGACATCATGGACGACGTCAGTCGGTGAAACGAATACCCCACAGAAAGAGTGCAGAGTGGTTCGCCAGCTACAATAGGTATGAAATAATAGATCATGCTCAGGATAGGGTCCCCGATCCAATATCACCAAGGCTTGTGGAAATGAATACGATGATCCAGACGATCAAATACCTTCGAGAACTTATTCTAGGCGTCGTCGACTCCCTATCCAACATTTACGGAATCTATCCAGCTGGCTTGGCCTTGCAAAATATTCTTGGTACATCTGTGCTTTTAGCGGAAGCCGCACTAATTCTGCATGAGGATACTGCAACTCTCCAAATATTATATGAGTGATTCTGTGACAAGAACTTCCGTCACTTTAGCAAGCACCGGGAGCAAAGTAGTCGGGCAGCAGTATGCGAACACAGCACAATTCTCCTATATAAATCTGGTGATTATCACACACGTCCACATATTTGGAACCTGCAAGTCGTCAAGACTGCACTAGAGAAACTGATATAAGGGATTAGCCAACCTCGTGTCAGCTACTTTCATTGAGTTGGGGCGTATGCTGTCCCAACCATGTGAATTTGATCTAAATAGTGGTATCAGTGGCTTCAGCAGATCCGTGGTAGTGAAGGAGATGTAGCTAAATGTTGGTGGTGACGTGATTTGAGTCAGATAGATATGAGACGTTGTTGCATCTTCAGAGTACTAGAAAATCGATGTCGCTGTGAGTCGGAATCTTGTTGCGAAGATTTAGCTTGCCAGTAGAATTTGTTAGAGCAGGGATTCTTCCCTGTACGTTGCGGAATTGGTTAACATGCCAGTAAAGTAGCTTAATTTTTGAGAAAAACTTCCTCTCTAAATCCTGTTTGCGTTTCCATTTATCTTTGCGGACAGTTCAACCCAAACGTTTCCCTTGGTTATGTAAACATTCCAGTTCTCAGCTTTTAGAATGGTCTTGCATGCTTGGCGAAATGGTTTTTTCCGAAGCTTGCGTTCCCATTCTAAGGAAGAAATTAACTTTTTCTGAGCTAAGCCTCACAGTGTATGATAAGCTTTCTACTAGTAGGCTGAACGGGTTGATAAAATCCGCTGTCAAAATACTCTGAGTACATCTTCGGCTAGAAATGAACAACCGGTGACCTTGATGCGGTTGGATGGAATGCAATGACATGTTACCATACGATCTGAACTTCCCGTTGAAGTGTTCGGTATAATGAAGTGGCGGAGAAGTGTTACTTAGCCGCTGCACCCCAATGGGCCTTTCAACGTTACTTATGGTCATAGGTTGCTCAATGGTGGGCACAAATCCCAGAACAGCCGGTTCGCTCCCATTCTGGATCTCGTAGGATGATTGATGAGATTATGAAGTGGTAGACCGGCGACGAGTTCCTGCAGTTTATTTTTAAACTACTCAGCAAGGGATGCTGGAACCTCCAGATCTTGCATGCTCAAGTCACCCACAAGGAAATGTGAGTGTTAGGCTGAGCTGGAAAGCTTGTCACATCGGAAGTTAGGCGACGGTCCTTTGTAACTTGGACATCGGAAGAAGCTATACGAGGACAGCTATACATGCGTCACTGCTTAGCTGTGCATATTTTACAAAGTAAACAAGAATAAACATGTGTGATTAGTTGATCCAGGCTTAGTCGAAAGCAGAAAGGACAGACCAATAGTACAACACTAATTCTTTCCTCGAATATGCGGAACAAATGTCAGTAACCTGCTTACCATATAGTAATGGACATATACTTTAGCAGGTTTTGTTGCTTGAGAGTATCGCTGAAGAAGCGGCTTGATGATTTCAAAGAAAAACGTTCATCACTTTGCTTTACAAAGTGGAACAAAATGCTGACATGTTTTGCCACCAATCACACTATTCCATAAGCAAGCTCCTCTGCAACAGAGCAAGAGATTGCTGCATGAGACAAAATTATCGCGAACTCTTACTGCTTACCGACTTGTACGCTTACCAGACAAAAGGTACCTTTAGTAGCACGGACACTGGTCAGCCTGAGAGAATTATGTCCATGAAGACCGTGAAGAGGGACTGCCTGTCAACTCCATGGGCTTTTGCTCAATTATACTAGGTGAGAAATTCCTTATAAAATATGGAAGATCAGCAATACGCAAATTGTCCTACCGTGCTCTTACTTACTGTGGCCATCACCATCCAATGCTTGAAATCCAATCTTTGCAGTCTATCTAAACAACCTAAATTCTCGACAAGCCTAGTCTTGCCTTGATAAGGCATGGGTTCTGTCTTTGTAATCGATTGCCTAGAGCGCTTTAGGCTCCAGTGTAAAGCCCTTATTGCTACCCTGACTCTGACATTTATTTAATTGTGTCATCATAAAACATGTAAGCGGCTAACGGAGAACAAGCAAAATCATCTATGTTCGGGTCGCACAATGAATGTTCGTTGTTTATGCTATTTTAGAACTCCAACAACAAAGTGATTGCATAGAAATCAGAAAGTTATCAGCAAGTAGCCTCAGCCTAATTCTTACTGTTGACAAAAGTTAAACTTACACTAGCTGAATAAGGATAAACACACAGCATTACAGTTCACTTGCAATGAAATTGCTTGTGGAAGTTTTGGAATGCAGATGAGCACAAATAAGCGGAACTACTTAAACTTCCAGCATCACATTCATGTTCACGTTTTTCACATGTTGAAACGCCATTGCGAATAAAAGACCAGTTACTGACTCCATTCTGTACTAGACTCCGCTTTATTGGCTGTTTATCCGTCTACCTTTGTCGCTGAAAAGAAGCGGCCTCAGTGATACTTTCCGACTGTCGTCATTGCATATCAGTGGGCACTTTTGGAACAATTATGTTGACGTATCACGTCACTTCATTTTGTGCGCATGTGCCTAACATAAACTTCTTGTCATTGTGCCTGTGAAATCCAGGCTAAGACAGTACACTGCTTCGTAGAAAGCTCTACAGCGGAATGGTGCTTGCCCCCATCCAAGTCGCAGCCATGGTTATCACTATTTTTCGTTGGTTTTTGCTTGTCTCTTTTCTTCTAATAAGTGCCCATCGCTCTAGCCCTAAGCCTGATTTTTGGGACAAAGTTGATCCATTCCTGGATGATTTAAAGCTCCTGTGGGTTGTCGCTATCTTTTCTCAGATATGTACTAGAGATGCAGCAAATCCGCATTCTCGTGCATGGAAGTTTGATGAGTTTCCAGCCTTTCCTTTCGCTTTGTCGCCATGCAATTGTTGGTGTGGATTTTCTCATAACCTCATGTAACTTCTCCTATGAAGTAACCACAGCGATTCTGTCCCAGCGCAAGATCTGTAGTAGGTCACTATCGACTTAGGATCCCTTGGTTAGCTACTGTAGGTTTAGCAAGATCACTGACAACGAGCGCTCCCTGACAACGGACCATAGCTTCTTTCACCTAATGGTTAAACCATACAATCCTACTTTCACATAGTCATTTAATACACGGCTCAACGGTATCAACAGCTCAGCAGAACGCACGTTATTAAGCATTAACACGTCGATTACTTACAGTGATGGCAGAGATATGCAGTTATTCTTGGAAGCC